AATCTCTAAACATTTCTGGATGATGTCTCATTGAGACTAGATATCAATGATGCTTAGAGACTAGTGCATTATGTGTTCCTTACTTGAAAAGTAAGCAATTGATCTTACAGGTTGAAGTATAAAGATACTTAAAACTAGAATGTAAGTGCTTGTTTTATGAACAATTGAAAATGACTTGTCATGATAAATGCATTTGGTATCCCACTTTAGTGTTTATGTAAATAATTATCATATGTTAATCATGTAAATACTCTTTAGACTTATAACATTACGTTGTCCTATATGTGGAGTGTTATATATTTGATCATATCTCTACAGGTCTTACCAAGGATGCCAAAACAGAATATGATTAGTTGTAGCATGAAGCATGTGAAGGCAAATGAGTACTTAAGAAAAGAATCATCACCCGAAGTGATTTAAGAAACATATCCTAACAGTTTTGGTTGATATTAGTTTGTTGAAATCCTTGGCCAAGGCGACATGGAGATAATAAAAAGAGTTTCATAAGTATCTATAAAGTTAATGATCTAACATCAAGAATGAATACAGAGTTTAATAAAGGTAAACATTATACCATGCTCTTACCATTTTTGAAATATACGATGAAAGAATGAATTACACTGATAGATTGTACATTGAAATATTGTTAAAGAATTCTTTGACTTTTTTAACAATTGAATAGACATGATGCATTTTTAAATATTAATCTTGGTCTATGAAATTGAAGTAAGTAATTTAATAAAGATTATAATTCAATTCCCTTGCCAATATGTTAAAAACCTAATAGGTCACACACAATAAATTACAATATGAATTAAATTGAGAGTGTGATGATTTAAGTTGGACTTAAATCATACATTAGGGTTTTAATCTCTAAAGACTCAATTAAAATAGTTTAATTAAATGTAAAGCCAATATTATAATTAGCTATAATATTAAAGCCTTAATTACAAACAAATAAGATAAATTAAATTTGATTTTAATTTATAATGACTTAATTATAATGGTTTAATTAAGTCTTGGGTCATTATTATAAAAAGTTATAATATTAAAGCCTTATTTATAATTTAAGAAGTTAATTAATTTAGATATAAATATTATTTTTCAACTATTCCCCATGAGCTAAAAAAAGAAAAATACATAAGTTTTTAAGTTGTAAAAAAAAACAAAAAATCCCTAATTGCAACCTCTTTTAAGAAATTTTGAAAAATAGTTTTTCAACTTTATGATTCAGTTAGGTGGAGTGCTTTTGTGTGAAGGAAATAAATAGTTATCCATTTTGCTAACACAAAGACATAATTGAGAATGTTTTCTCCTTATGAAGGTTTAAATGTAGTCATGTGTGCAATGGTTGGAGGCCAAGCATTTAAGTGACTCAAATTCTTTTCTTTTTTTGTAGTATTTCAAATGTTAAAAAAGGAAGAAGTGCCATTGTAATAGCCACATCACTTGGAAAATGTAATTTTATTTTTTTGATTACTTCTCTCTTCTAGTTTTATTTTTATTAAAACCACTAAGGTGATCTATAGGTGGTAACATAAGATTTTGTTTAGATTTTTTTAATGACTTTTCGTTGAGTATAACATAATTGTTATATATAATTATTTCTATGTTGTGTAATACCTAACAGTGGTATCAGAGCCTATCTTAGTTCATTTTAATACAAAATTATGTCTTATTATTGTTACCTTAATGCTTAAATTGGTATGAGTGGATTCAAATCGATAAGGATTTAAAATTTTTTAAATCTATTTTGTAACTATTTCAATTTTCTACGTAAATTCAATTTGTAAATTTTCAATCTTTGTTTTGAATATTTTAATATGATTTTTAATGTCTTAATTTTAAAAATTGATGTATGCATTAGATGCACAAAAGAAATTGACAAAATCATATTCAAATTCATAGTAATATGATGCGGTTTTGGTGACAAAATTGGATTCTATCTAACTTTGTTAATGGTTTAATTTTCATCTTTAAAAAGACGTTTTAAGGCCTCTAAAATTGCTGAAAAAATTAGGAAACAATGCACATTAGAATAATTCCAAGAGCATTGTCAACCAATAGCAAAAGATAGTGAAAAATCATGAAACCATGACTAACATCACTACTACCAGTAGCAATTTCAAGCCATGGTTCTAGCTAAGTATGACAACTTAAAGGAGACTTAATTTATGTAATTTGTTGCACTTATTGGTTGCCTTTTAGAGTTTGAAATGAGTTCAAAAGTTGCTTGATAAGATAACTAAAATTAAGGGATTAAATTCCTAAAATTGTGCCACGATAAAACCACATAAGCGATTGAAATAGTGATTATGTCGAGTATGAAAGTCATCGTTTTGGGATGTTTTGGGTTGTTAATATGCATTTGAAAATCATGAAAATTTAATATCAAAAAGATTCATATGTTAACCAACCAGAAATAAAAACTATAGAATTAATTTCCTGATTTATAGTCGTTTTAAAATCAAATACCATAGCTACACCACTGTTGCTTGCTATAATATTAAGGCCATAATTTTTGGGCGATTTGGGTAATCAATTTGCATCCAAAAATTAAGTAAATTTAATACAAAACAGTTCCATATGTTGTTTGTCCTAAAAAAATAAATTAAAAACTATAATTTCTAAATTTAAGATCTCATAAAACCACACAACAACAGTTATACCAATGCTGCTAACAATTGATCAATGCCATAGTTTTCACATTAAGACTTGCCTAACTTGCATCCTTAATTGGTACAATTTAAATTACAATTTGGCTATCTAAATATTTATGCAAAGGTTCTATAAAAAGGATAATTTTGACATAAGAGAATAAGAAATATGATTTCTAAAACCATGATTGTTAAAATTGAGATAATTAGCATCCATAAATTAAGGAATTAGATTCTTAAAATTATAGCACTCAAAACTACTCATTGGTTGATTGTAAATTATGAAAATAATTCCATAAAGATAATAAATTTTAACATGATAAATTACAGAATTTGATTCCTTAATTCAAAGATGTCAAAAAATTTATTGTAGACACCATAAATCAAGGAATTTGATTCCTAAAATTATGGAGTTAAAACAAATAAAAGCAAGTCTTTTATCATTAATAAATTTCCTTTAATTAAGGAAGGAAATTTGAATAAAATACTAAGACTAGTTAAAATTATCTTGTCTTATATTTTGATCTAAATAACCTAATAAGTTAGGTAAGACATCTAATCTTTAATTAGATTTTATTAGTAACATAAGTTACCTAAAATGTTTAGGAGAAAAAAATTGAAAAATTATTTTAACTTGCAAGATTAATTAAAATAATTATTGTCTTAGATCTTAAATACCTAATGCGATTAGGTGATGGAAGACATATAACTTTAATTAATTTAATTACTTAAAGTGTTTAAGAATGTACTTTTCAAAAAAAATGTTTAAGAATTCAAATTAAAATTGTTTTAATTTGCAATGGAAATTTGATTCCAATGCTAATAAGATTATGAATGGATAAGTTGCTAATTTTGATTAGTATACTTTCCATATATATATATATATATATATATATAAGTTTCATATATAGAAGTAATTGGTTATCTAAAAATTTGAAATTGACAAACTCAAATGGACAAAAATTGTTAATTTCAAATATCTCATATAATTAATAATTTGAATGAGACATGTCTTTAAATTTTATTCATACGATGGATGTATGTGGATGATTATGGACATAGGCCTAATATGATTATGTTATGGTGGAATGTAAATTCTTGGTATTTTTAAAATAAAACTTATGTGTCCTGCCTTAACTCTTTATGTCAGTTTGTAAAATTTTTTCCTCGTCTTACTCCCTCCGAATGTAACTCGAAGTTTTTACTTTTTTATGTAATTAGAATCATGATAGATTAAGAATTGAATTTTTATAAAATCAAAGATGAAAAATCAAGGCAACAAAGACGACAAGAAGATTACAAGTAGACTTTAAGAATGTTGTTTATAGTCCTATATGTTTGACCAAGCTAATTTTCTTTGATGGCTCAAGGAAATTAGTATAGTTAAAGTCCATAATCATCCAAAGTAATTTGCATGTGATAGATTTATTTTATGCAATCTAATGAGTGCTATGCAATGCAAAGTAATATGCATGTGATAGATTTATTTTATGCAATTTAATAAATGTTATTCATGTAAAAATGAGACTTTAATAAAAAAAGATAAAAGATAAATCCTTCATGAAAATATTAAGTTATGTGCTACACATGATTAAGTTGTCTTCTACCACATAGTAAGATAATTTGGTTGCTCTTTTATTTAGAGGTTTCTTGAGAAAACATAAGGCTAACTTTTACACAAGTATGTTTGAGCTAATAATGAATTGACGATTGTTACTTTATTGTTAATAAGAAAACTTAAAATAAAAATACATGAGTTTAATTGAATACGATAAAAGTATAAAAGCTTAATTGACTTTTTTTATATAATCTAGAAAATTATTTGAGTATTATCATTATTTTTTATTATACTCAATTAAATTTTTATATTTTATTTTGAGTTAAAAAAACTTTTATAATTAATGGTAGACTACTTATTGTTAATTAAAATATCATTTTGAAATTGTATGTCATGTGACATGTTGATACTTTATAATTAATGATATCAATACCATAATAGTGTCATATCAATAGTATGTAAATATAAAAATGATAATTGATATTTCAATTAATGATAAGTACTTAATTATTAATTGTAAAAATTTATTTAATTAAAAATAAAAATATAAAAATTAAATTAAATTTAATAAAAAATAAAAATTTATATACATTTTTTAAAATAATATAAGACTGAAATATAATAGGGATGGATGGTTTGATACAATCATTCTCGCGAAGGATGATCGTATCCTTTTCGAACTTGTGGCGCCAAAAAGATTAAACCCCGTCCCGTGGCTCATTAGCTAATATTTATTTATTTTAAAACATATAAATAAATAAAATAAAGTACTCACTGTGACACGTGGCCGAAGTTCGTTATCATCTAATCCATTTTAGACAAGTTTCCGTCCTCTCTCTTCTTCTTTCAGCAAAACCAGCTGAGCTCCGATGGCCATGACTGTCATGGCCTTGTCTTTCTCTCCACCTCTCTCTGTCTCCCCTCCTCGCCCCTCTCTCATTCCTCTTCGTCTTCCTTCTCCTCGTTTTCCCACTCTCACTCCGAAACTGAGAATAAGTATCCAATGCGCAACCAGAGACAACACAGAAGCAAACCCGCCCGCAGCATCCACCCAGAGCTATGATCCGAAGAAAGGAGTGCCGCTTTATAAGCCTAAGTCATACGATGTTCTTGTAACTGACGCTGCTAACTCTCTCGCTTTTGCTCTTCAAGATGGCAAAACCCGCCTCGAGATTGATTTCCCGTATGTTATTCGATACTTCTCTTTTTTTTAAAAAAAATTCTTTTGGAGGTATTTTGAGGCCTACACGAGCTTTTTCTTGATGCCCATCTCCCCTTTAGTTATGAAAAGCAATTCCATTTTCTCTGATTTTGTGACAAGCTTTGCCAATTTATGTTCACGAAATTTGCTGGCAAAAGTTATTTAGGCTGTTGTTTTGCTATATACTTTTTTCTATGGCCCCCATTGTTTCCTAAAATTTAATGCAAAAAAAAAAGTCATAATTGATTGAAAATGAGTAAATTAGTTACTTTTAAAAACAATTCTAACAAAATTGTTATATATAAAACTAAAATCTACATTGTTAATTTCTAAAAGTTTAAAAAATATTGTTTGCTTCTGTGTCCAAACGTTTTTTTTGCGTCGGAAACTAGTACAAGTATCAACTGAATTATAGCATTTCGATTTGTGATTGACTTTAGGAGTTCTGTTCCTGTAATGTCAATGTTGTGGTTGGCAATTGTTAGGGAAATAGGCAAACCTAGCGCTCATGCTCATGGGAGCACACTAAAAGGCCCATAGATACATGTTGCACACCATTTGAATCTAAAAATATAAACTAATAGGTTCTGGGGTACTTCATGTATAAATGCCACTTTTACATTCTACTCTTGGGAGGACACCAGAGGGGCTCAAAGAATGCGGTATCACCATAGTTGTCACACTCAAATGGAAACTTTGGCTTTGATAGAATGCCGACTCAAGCAAGTCAATATGATTACAACCAAACATGCATAATAATTAATACATGATAAATAACAGCCAACAAGAACACTAGATTTTATGTGTTTTGGCACTAAGTCTACATCCACAGGCAGAAACAATGAGATATACGGATGTTTCAAAACCCAAACCACACCCAAAGGCACTACACACCATAAAACCTGGAAGCCAAACTCTCAAACCCCTTAATTCCCTTTACTTACCAGAGGAACCAAGAAAGCTGACTTCATTTTCGCTCAAATTGCAATCCCAAAATTATCTTCTTTTTTTTTTTATCTTTGCAACCGTTCTTTTCCAATCCCATAATGTCCTTTGTTTTTTCCTCAAGTTGCCCTTAAGGCATAGAAACATAAATCAAGGGAGTTTGGGCCTGAGAAGGGAGACAATAAGGACGACAAATTAAAAGTGGTAGGCATTATTGAGGGTGATGGGGACAAAGCTTTAAGTCCAATTGGCTAAATTTTTTCAACCAATTCACGAAATATACTCAACTTAGCTTGAGAAAGTTTCCTCCAAGCAAACTGTTATAGCAAAATTTCTCAAACATTGCTATAAAGGGTTTTTCCAAAAAAGAAAGCGCTAAGATTCTCCTAGAAGTAGTTTTTGGGTTCTTCTGTAAGAGGCAGGGTTAGGGGTTCTTTTGGAAGAGGTAGTGTTCAGAAAAGGTGGTGTTGAGAGTTCTTTGGAAGAGGTATTGATAAGGTTCTTGTGGAATAGGCAGAGTTGCAAAGAAGTGAAACAGATTAGGGCAGACCCTGAAGTAATGATTGTTATGGTAGGTGTTGGAACAAGATATAGGAAATATGAAAAAGGAAGAAGGAAGGAATGAAGGAAGAGAGGAGGTAGGGAGAATTCTTGAGAAAGGATATGTGAACTTGCCAAAAGGTTGCAAATGAGTTCCCAAAGCCCCATATGTACAGGCTGGAGGGTGTAATCAATGCAACCAATGAAAGGATGCCAACTCATGAGCCATTAAAGTATTTTTTGATAAATGCTAAGGTTACTGTGGTTATTGCGAGTCTTATGACAGCTCATCCAAAAGCGAGCTAGAAAAAAAGAAGAAACGGGTAGCACTTGTGTGATTTAGGGAAAGGTTAAGGAGAAGAGCTCCTCAGTCACTTGTATGTTTAAGCCACCAAGCAAAGCTCTCTTAAACATCTCAAGAGCAGAAATAACCAAGAACCATGCCACTTGTTCCGGGGTTATTTTCAGCTCTCCGACCTTTTGTTCAATATGGTAGTGTGATACTTGTAAGACAACCTTACATAATATTGAGAAGATGATATATTAACAACCAAAATAAAATATCTACATTTGCATTGCCTCATCCTCTTGAACCAACATAGCACTCATCTTGGTGCTCCAAAGACTGGAGCAATTCTTTTCAGTGAATTTTCTTGACCTCACATCTGGCTTAGCAGATTTTGGTTATTGTGTGGCAGGTGCCATTGAGTATTGTCAGCACTACTATACTTTGTTGCTGTAGTAGTGTCATGTGTTTTGTGGTCTTTCTGGAGGTGCCATTGGTTGGAAGGCTATGTTGTGGTATATCGTGTCCTTTGTCTATGACTGAGATGGAAACTATGGCGGTAGCGAAGGTAGTGTAGGAAGCTTTGTGTTTAAAAGGTCAGATTAGCAGTTTGAGTTGCAACAGGGTTCTACAGTTGTATTTTGTGATAGCCAGAGTGCAGTTCATGAGAAGACCAAACACATTGTTGTTAAATATCACTTCATACATGAACATGGATTGCTTTGTGATGGTGTGGTCAGTAAATTTTGTTTTTTCTTTGAAGAGTATCCCCCTGGCATGTTGACGAAAGGTTATCCTTGCTTGCAAGTTCAACTGGCATGCGCTTGGCCATAATTCGCAGTTTGTGACAGCTGGGCATGTGTGGAGATGATGTAGGCTTTGAGAAATTTGCTATGATGGTTAGCTTGAAGGAATTTTTCAAGCCGAAGTGGAGATTTATTGTAAATTAACTGGAAAAGTTCAGTCTCTTGGAGTTCAAGCTTCCATCCCATCACCTTCGGCTCTGCCACTTCTAGTTAGTTGCCCTTGTGTCTTGTGAAATTCCCCTCATGCCCATACTATTTTGATCCATTTTTCATTTGCATTTTAAGGGCAATTTGGGAAAGAAAGGGAATTATGGGAATCAGAATAAAAAAAGCTGTAAAGATAAAAGGGGTAGTGATTTTTTGGATTGCAATTTCAGCGAGAAGGGCGAAGTGAGTGCCAAACACATAAATCTTGGTGTTTTGTTGGTTGTTATTTTTCATAGTATTATTTCTTATGCATGTTTTGTTTTTCTTCTGGCAAATTTATTTCTTTCATATTGACTTGCTTAGATCATTGCTCGAACAAAAATATTTGTTCATCATCAACTAAATTGTGTATTCCATAAAATTCTTTTGGTAACTTCTCTTTTTTCTGCGGTGAGACTTCTGGTGAGGTTTTTAATAGGCATTAGGCACTAGGCAGTTAGCTGGCTATAGTTTCATGCGAGTAAAGATGTTTCTCTTAACACTTAGCCTATAGAACTTACTGGTATGAAACAGCATGAAGGGGTTTTGTAGTGATTCCTGTAATTCTCATGTATGCTTATTTGAGTGGATTGTCCATTTGCTTTTTCATTTCCCTAATAATTTGGTCCATTTTGTGTTTTTCTGCCTTTTGCAGGCCCTTGCCAAGCAACATTTCTTCTTATAAGGTACCTCTTTCATTTTTACATTTCTATACGGCTAGTTGAATGGCCCTTCATGAATTTTCTTGCTCATTTTCAAAATTTTACTGCAATTATTTCTTTGATGCTGTCTTTAGCATCGCATAGGACGTTGCTTTGTTAACTTCAGTTCTTGCTTCTGTTCATAATCTGTCCATTTGTCTAAACCAAAATATAGTATTGTTAGCTTTGTTCTTGATGAAGTACATTCATGGATCATACTATATTGTATGATGCTGATGATTATATAAAGATGAAATGTTATTTTCTCTAAAACTAAGAGAAAGAAAATAAAAATCCCTAGTACATAATTTTCTCTAATGTCTGAATATGTGAAGGGATCTTCAGATGAGTTCATTGATGCCAACATTCAACTTGCCTTGGCCATTGTCAGGAAACTCCAACAAAAAAGGGAAACTCGAGCTTGCATTGTAAGAAGAGGCTTTCATTTGCAGAAATGTTCCGTTTTTCTTTCTGAAGATGAGCTTAATTTCTTACTGCCTTTTCAGGTGTTTCCTGATAAGCCAGAAAAACGCAGGGCCTCTCAGCTTTTCAAAACAGCTCTCGACTCGGTACTAAAATGACTTAGACAAGATTGCCTCCTATATTTCTTCCTATTCTGTCTAGATGGGCTCTTTTCATAGTGAGGGTTTTGTTGTTTATCGTTCACTAAAGTGTATGGAACATCTCATTGGCTCATTGGCATCATAAGCGTTTCATTCCATAGATAAGTTTCAGGGATTTACTCGGATTTCTTTTATATTAATAAATACTGAGGCTAATATTTAAAGATGCGACCTGTCAAAAACTAAAACCTGTTTATTGATCCAGTTACGGCTTTCACATACAGTCATTAGATTCTTCACCCTCTTGCCCTAAAATCAAAATCCTTTATTGATACACAGAGTTGCCTTTTGGACTTTTAGAATGATTTTAATTCTTGATTCTTCACTTTCAGATTGATGGTATATCTATAGGTTCTCTTGACGATGTCCCTAGTGGTGCAGTCACTACATTCTTCAAATCTATCAAGAACACTCTGGATTTTGATTTTCAAGATGAAAATGAAGGTTGTTCCTGAAAATCCAGCTCTATGTGAGAATTTTCCTTGCCGTCCGACTAATCAATGAACTGGGTTACTTCATAAGCTCCAAATATCCATCCTACTAAGCAATGAACTGGGTTGCTTCATAAGCTTCAAATATTAATATCCTCTTGCCATTTTCCTACCTTCACACACACAGAGATTGACTTTAACATTCTGCCATCTCTGGTGAATGCAGGTCGTTGGGAACCTAAGGAGCCACCAACTCTTTATATATTTATTAACTGTAGCACACGTGAACTTTCTGTTATAGAGAAGTATGTGGTATGTTCTTATACCTTATTCGGCCTTTAACCTTTTCCTGTGCCTATTTATTATCTAATTATACATTGGTTCATGCTTGACGTTGAAACTGTTGGCTATTTCAAGTTAAGCTCTTCTGCTTTCTTGGGTCTGCAAATCTGATCAGTTAATATACTTGCATAAACATGTCAGGACACTGAGTGTTTCAAACAAGAAATAACTTGATGCCTTTCACCATGGGATATATTGATCAGTAAACTTAGTTCTAGGGGTATAACATATCAACACAAGATTGTTGGCAGTCTTGATCTGAAATTCTATTTGTAAATTATGAGAGCATTCCAGAATTTTATTGTGCTTAATATCAGAAGTTGGAAAAAGCTTGTAATATTTCTGACCAACCTTATGCTATAAGTTAAATTAAATGATGGTTTTGTCTATCCTGATCTAAAATTCATTTTGTAAATTATGAGAGCATTCCAGAAATTTGCTGTTCTTAGTATCAAAATAAAATTGCCAAAAGTTTACTTTTATCGTTTCTGACCAATCTTTTGGCAGCTTTGTTTTCAGACTTCAATATCTAGTTGCAAGTGAATGCTCCTTTTTTATTTAAACCCCCTCCCTGCCTTCCTTTTTTCCTCTTCTCCTTTGTGTGACTGTGGTCTGAATGTGCAGGAGATAAATGCCCTGTCAACCCCAACACTTCTATTCAATCTTGAACTTGACACTTTGCGGTATAAACTTTACTACTTGTTCATCTTTTAATGATGATTCAATGATGAGTGAATTTACTTTTGATTGTCCAAGGCTGGTTATCTTCGCAGTGCTGACTTGGGTCTTCTGGGATTTCCTCCCAAAGATTTGCAATATCGATTTCTTTCTCAATTCATCCCAGCGTTCTATATACGAATCAGGGAGTACTCCAAGGTAGTTAATAGATAATCAGCCTACAGCTTTTTGCTCCACTCAGTTTTGTTTCTGGTACAGTTTAATAATGAACATTTTCTTTTCAAATATTGTAAGACAGTAGCAGTAGCACCTTTTGTTGTGAATTACAGTGGAGCACTATTTCGCCAATATCCTGGTGCGCAAATAAACCTTCTTAGCATTTATGCCATTTTAAGTTACGCCAATCCTACAGGGCTGTGCCATCTTTGCAAATAATTTTAATAGTGGGAATTATCTTTTTCCATACTGTTTTGCATCTCTCCTTTTAATCCCCTGTTTTTGTCATTGTCAGTGTGCAATATATGACCTGAAAAAGGATGCATATTCCTTGGAATCAGATCTGGGATGGGACTACATGTACTTTGCATATCTCCTCATCTAACTCAGAGTTTGTGCAGGACCTTGGCAGGTGATGCTTAAGCAATCAGATGGTTCTTATGCCTGTGTAGCTGAGAGTGCAACACGCTTCACTCTTGGAGAGGTATGTAGCTGCTATGACGTTTCAGCTCCAGGTTGTTTTCTTTCAGTTAACATTCTAGGCTTTTGGGCATATTATTTGGTTTGTTCTAGACAAAGGAAGAACTGTTGAGGGTCCTTGGATTGCAAGAGGAACAAGGAAGCCAACTAGAATTTCTTCGCAGAGGCTACAAGGTTTTCATCTATTTTAATTTCTCTTATAAATATATATATATATATATATATATATATATATATATATTACTGAGTATTATTTTGGGATTTGTAAATTAAATGCTCAAAGCAATATCCTCTATACCTCCCTAAACAAAGTTTCAACTTTGTTTTTCCTTTCAATATTGCCTCTTCAGGGTGTAATGTTCCACTGAACTTGAGCTTGTTATTCTCAGAAATTAGGTTCACATCTTGCATGGGATTACTCAAAAATACACATATATTTTGGCAACATAGTGTGGATAGAAAGAACCTAGGGAAAACAGGTTGGAAATTAGGTTTCCTTTCCTGTAACCAAGTCATCTATTGTTTCAGACTTCCACTTGGTGGGAAGAGGATGTTGACTTGGAAGCGTCTTCAGCATGGCGTAGTTGAGTAGCCGAAGGACAGTTGACCACAATGAGATATCACTGTATATAGATGGTGAAGATGCTTGATATCTTCTTTCCAACTATTTCTCTTATATTTCCCTGTAATTTATCCCCTTCTTTTACTCATGAGAATAAATAAAAAGAAAATTCTTTTGCTTTCTTATAGTCTTCTTGATTCCCTCCAGTGGAGAACACATTAATTGGGGGAAGAGAACTGAAATTCAAGTTTGTTCATATGACTTACTAATAAAGCATCAGTCTTATGTCAGGTTAAACTTAAATTCCTGTTAGCTTTTGCAGTGAACTGTTTCATGCCATGTTAAACTAGTCTTTCCTGTTCTAGCTTTTAAAATGTGGGCGACTAGATTTTGAAGGTTTAAATACTAACCATTCAATGTTTAATGCAAAAGTGGACAAATTGTATATATATATATATTATTATTCATTTGAAATGAGAAAATTTTCTCCATAATTTTGTTTTAGTATTATTGTCTCACTTGACGTGCTGTTAAAATGTTTTTATGTATGGATGAATTGAGTTATGTATGAATGGATTACATTATTAAATTTATTTAAGGTATAATGCTTGAAAAAAACTTCTGAACTATGAAAAAAATTCAAATAATTTTTTATTCTTTTGTTATGTCCAATTAAGTTCATATATTTTTATTATGAATCAAATAGACTTTTATAATTAACAATTGATTGATTATTATTAGTCAAAATGTCTGTTATTATTTACTCAAGTGATATTGACATGGCACTTATCATTTCATGTTTATGTGATTATCATGGATGATAAAAATAACATGTGATCATATTATAATACTATATCAACATATGTTATGTCATCATCAACTTTGACATGTTACATGTCTCATTAGTAGCATATGACATAAAATGACAAATGAAGTTTTAATTAATGGTAATTAGTCATGGTTATTTAGTCCTAAATAAAAGTACAAGAGTTTCAGATTTGAATGCAATAAAAGAAGAAAAGTTCATATACATTATGAAGTATGAATAGTAACTGTTTTCTGGTCAAAATTAATGTGAACTAAGGCAGTATTACTATACAAAGTTAAGTAACAGATAACAAAAGAGGTTTAACATCTAGTATACACTTTTGTAAATTTTACAGCTACATCGAGCAAGATTAGCTCAGTCGATTTTATGGCCTAGTTCATCTGTGTCAAGATCATTGAAGTTTGGTTCTGGTGGCTTTGGCAGCTTCATCAAGCTCTTAGGACTAGTTGTGCCTCTGTTCTTATTGCCACGAACGTTTGCTGCAAAGCGTGATGCAAATATAGTTGCACCAAGGCTGTAGGATTCTGCAGTGTTATCTCTTTGCTCAACCAAGGCCATTTCATCATCATATTCTTCATCATAGTCTAGTTCCTCCTCCTCTTCCTTACGACGAAGTTCTACAATTTTCCTTCTGGAATACTTGCGCCATGCTGTTTGGATAAAGCAGGCAGCCCAAGTCCTCCACTGCTGTGAGTAGAATCGGAAGGTGTGCTGAACCTGCCTACTATGAAGTCGCCTAAATTGACTGGAAACAAATGTCAACTCCTCAGCTTCCAAGGCAAAAGCCTCCACCTCACTTAAAGCCTTCACTGTTCGAGTAGATGATGGTAAGTTGGAACCAGCTTTGGGGTCAAGCGCCCAAGTCAATAGCTCCTCACCACAAAAGTCCCCTTCCTTCAGCAAACCTCTGTTGAAAAAGCCACTCCTCCCGCCATCTGTGGTCACACTCTCAAGGCGGCCTCGTATAATGAAAAGCATCTCATTTACTGGATCACCTTCTCGAACTATGTAAGTATGTTCTGTGTATAAACTTGGTTTGAGTCGCTCACAAATTGCATCAAGTAACCTCTCGTCCATATTGGCAAACAGAGGAACCTGCATACCATATCATGCAATATAAGACAGACAAAGAACAAATGTTAATACACTCACAAAAGGATATGGTATACTTGCACCAAAAGAAATTTGTGCATGGCAGCACTGCTGCAGTTTTCATGACAACGAAATTGATAAAACCACTAGCATGCTTAAACCTGCCATCAGTAGCCAGAACAGCAAGCAATATCTTAGATTTGTAGAATATTTACTTGGAAGCTTTTAGTTATGGTCAATAACATGAAATGGTTAAACTAAGATTCAGTTACAGATACACATTCCCTTACAAATAATCATGCCGATAACTTTAGCCATACTATTTGAAGCATACAGTTCTTCTATCTAGTGGCAAAGCTCAAAGCTCATAGTTTACAAGTCCATGAAAATACTATGGAAATTCATATATGACCACAAAAAGACATGAAAAGATTATTGATTGAAATCAAGAAAAAATCTACAAAGATCCTTACCCTTCGCACCAAATTCAAACAGAGATGACGCTTAATATCCCTCCTCAGATCTTTTGGTAAACTCTGGACTAAGTTTTCTTCATCAACTCCTCTCGTCTCTAACCATTTGTATTGGTCATAACGTCTAACTCGCTCCCTGAGATCCTGTGGGAGTGCACGATGATGCATCCACTGCTCAGAGTCACGCCTTTTGATCCTCATTTCCTCAAGACGAACCGTGAGAGACTGAAGGTAGGTCTGTTGCAATCACAAGAGACCTCAAACTTCAGCATTGTTGTATAGCTAACATTTTCTTTTGTTTGTTTGCTCTTCTTTCCAAGATAACCATATAATATTCACTTGGAAGTTTGCTGTCAGCCATTTCTGGCAGCTATGAGCAAATCATGGTCCTAAAGTAGCAAATATGAGAATTTAGAATCAAACAAAGCCAGATTTTGCTAACTCACACAAGAAGAGGTAGATGCAATCATCCCTAACATAAGTTCTGTAAAGAAATTTAATGTTTGGTCTATCCTTTTCTGTCTTTGCAATGGACATTGGTTAGGTATGTAAGGCTTCATAAGCAACCCTACCGATTACTAATCTGAAGTCAACCATACTTGGTTAATATACACAGTGGAAATTAAGGGGATAGAAAGCATTTATCTAAATTATCCAAAAAAACCATTCTGAAGCAACTTGTAGCAGCATGGTATCTCAATAACACTAATCAAACAATTCACTGCCATGAGCATATCTAGCACCTGGTAAGTTGAATGCTATAGGTTTATGGTCTGAGTGGCATATGTCTCCCAGACAAAGTGCTGGGTTCATGGTCTCAATGCTAGGTTCAAGCACTCCCAGGCTCATGACCCCCAAAAAATTGTCTATCAGAACAAAGGAAAGAAAAAACAAAGGATTTAATACTCATCTTGCAAGGGTTTTAAAATTTACCTGCATGTTTCCAATCAAAAGTGCAAAAAGGATAAGACCAAAAATAGCTATTGCTATGGAAAAGAGAACCTCTCCAGGATATGTGCTGGTTATTAGCCCCTGACCAAGTGTACTGCAGAAAATAAAATGGATATCAATGAGCAAAAACAACTTCCAGGAGTCCAAGAAAAATGCAACAAAAAAGAAAAGAAGGCGTTAAACAGAAACTGCACAAAATCCGCAGGAGATAATAATTTTATCATGCAAGAAGCAACATCATAAATACGATTGGAAATATATAGAGAAAGTTGCCAAGAAAAATAAAATTCATTTTCCAGTAAACAAGGCCTTAATTTTCTTTGTTTCATCCTGCTTAGAGTTGTCATTGAGAGTCTCGCCCTTATAGCTGTTTAACAGAAGTGAGATTCAGATTTACTCATTGAACATGAACATACAATTGAGGATAAGATGCAGAACATCTATGCTTGTGTCTGTAAGTGTTTGAAGACAAAGTGCAAACCTTAGATTCTGTAGGCCCCACCATAGGCAGTAACAGAATTTAGTGAAAAAGATGTTGGATGAAACAGTGCCAGATTGTATAGCTTGTGTGTAGATTCCGTAATTGAAGGGTGATGGCTGATCATGATCATCTATACCAGAACATTTACTACCAAGTATATTTTCACTGACCCTTTGCCAGTCTGCGTAGCCCTGCATATGCTTGTTGCCACAGTACAAGAAATCTATGTTGCACTTTCCACTGTCGATACAAGCATTTCGCCAGCATGTGTCATTACGCTCTACAGCCAGTAAGTACCAAAAAGCCCCCACTATCTGCACATTCCATCTCAAAGTAGTCAGATATTTGCTTCAAAACTGCCATACAAAATTGAGCTGGTACTAGCAAATTCAGAAAACATAGAAGAATACAAGGTTCAAAATCAATCAAACATTTTAATCTTCCCAGGAAATTGAGTCAGACCATCGTGCTGACACAAAGACATGAGTGCTTGTGCTATCAATATTTAGATATCTATAACTAGAGATCCAGGTCACTGTTGATGAGTTACATAACAAATTGGGAACACCAAGACTATCATTACATCTAAACTTGCCAGTGCACATAAGGAGCAGAATGTGAGAGGCATATATTGCAAGAATAATGCACTCACTTGGACTTCTACTTACAAAAGCTGGGATGTTCAAGCATCCAGAGTTCTCATGATCCATGGCTGCCTTCTTATTTACTCATGGATCCATTTTCTTGGAAATGGTTTCAGTATAACATTTTTTTAAAAAAAGGGCTACTAGTAAGATAAAATTTGCCCTGAAAAATATACCAAAAATTACAGGTCATATAATTCTTGCAACACATCTAGATGAGTTCTTAAGCAAAAGGCAGCTGATACATTCTCATCTCTTTTCTCCCTTTTTCCTTTCCCTCTCTCTCTCTACAGATAAGGTAGATGCATCCAGAACAGAGGGAAACCAAAAACAGAAATTATTTAACAGCTTGTGCATACCAATTGCAAACAAAAACTTACATGACTAGCAAGCATGTACCATAGCAGATAGTATGCAGCACCAGACCATGCTCCTTCAGCAAAAGTACCAGCTGTCTTTTTCAGTTCTGAAGTTAATGGTATAAAGCGGACAAACCTAGGGACATACTGAATAAATACAATGAGTAGCAATGCCTGTTTCGTAGCCCATACCTCTGAACCTTTTGATCTGTGAAGAAATCTCCACACCACAATCTGTAGACAAGAAAGTAGTTAAGGGAGATGAAGCACTAATTTCTCTTACTAAGCTGTTTGGAACAGATACAGCTGTATTATGTTATACAAATTAATGCTACATTTATAATTTTACAAAGGAAAAATAGAAAAGAGAAGAAACTATAACCCGTAGAAAATGTAAGGATTATTCAGCAGAATGCTTGTCATATAAACAACTATAATGCTACTTTTACAATGTAAATGTAGACTTGAATCTTTTGCTATAACAAAAACATCTTTTAAAGTCATTGCGACTTTTGCATGTGCACATTAACTCAACAACTTACAATTCATTTTCTTGAAGCATTTAATGATTCAGAGACAACAAAGAAATGACAATATTAAGGCCAAACTTTTCGGCATATTCAGTAAGTTTCAAGAAAAATGCTCACTTTTACCATGCATTAATTCTGTCTCTGCTAAGAAAGGCCAATGGCTTTTTATCCAGTGACATACTAAACACTATGCAACAATTTAAGTTAAGCTTGTCCAAGGTACTATCATAATATCTCTTCAAGACATTAGAATGGAGTTATCATGTACAAACTGTTTTTCTCAATAGGATATTTGAATGATCAGGATTCATGACTCATGCTAAAATGCAACAATAGAAATGTTCCCTGCTTATGTCACATTTTGATCTTTGGAATAAATGTAGCAAAGCCTAAAGTGCAGGCAAGAATGCTCAGATCAGCAGCATCACTTCTCAACCAGGCTCTCTAAGTAAAGATATTCTCCAAACAACTAGGAATATCAATCAGCAAATATTGCATAGTACCAGTCCAACTGGATGATTATACTTCCAAAAGAATTTAATAAGGTAGCCGATTATAATTGAATTTTCTAATTGACAAGCTCAAATCTAGATATATTATAAACATCTAAAGATTGGTGAAGCAAGTAGTTTCTCAAACCTGTGGCAGGGGGAGCACAGAAAGAAAATCAACAATGAAGTAACGACTTAAATATCGTGTGGCTATCTGTGCAGGATCTATCACAAGTTCACCTCGTCCGAAAACCCGCGATGATGGGGCAATATATGCTGTGCGGAACTGAAGACCCATGCGAATAAGGTAGAAAGTATCAATAATTGTCCGAATGGTTGTAGTTGTGACTCCCAACTTTACATCAATACCAAGGCAATTTGATAGATGATTGAAGAGGGGAAGATAGAAAAACAGTGGATCCACAGCTACTGAAAGAATGCAGGATACAACAAAAAACTTATTCCATAACAAAAGAGATCTATCTTGGGGGTCAATTATCATTTTGTCTGACACTTTGAGATCCTCTGGGAACACAGCTCTTGTGACCCCAGATCTAAGAGAGCGACCAAATGTTAGTAGTCCTTCTGATCCTCTCTTCATCCCCATTCTAAAAGATTTTGATGCATTCTTCTTTCCACGGCCACCAAATGTCAAGCCCTCTATATTAAATCTACATTTCTTCATTCCTCCAGTCCCAGATTGCATTGACATTGTGGAGTCTAAATCATCCAACCTAGATATGCAACAATCAGGCGCTAATATAAAAAAATTAATAATAGCCAACAACTTCAACCTCACTATATCATTTACTGAACCATAAATTCAGATAGCAAAGAACTACAAATAGATTATCACAGTAAAAGATAGCCTGCTTTCCCAAAAATTTTTTCACAAGGAAATATCATAACTGTTAGCAATTGTTATCAGGACAATCATATTATATTTAGTTTCATAGACTTCACTCTTCTGTTTCACAATGCAACTCGCTGTCAACTAACTATTATTTATTTCAGAGACCAGTTCTAGTTGATAACACTCTTTTGCATTAGAGATAACCATGAGCACCATTTCTTTCCCTCCAGAATCATAGTGGAAACCTGCAGGCTCTGTCAAAATGCTGACTACTCATAACAGTTGGACTGAAGAAGGATTAATTGTAGTAACTCTCCATCTTGAGTATAAATGGGGAAGTGTTAAATTTTCATATGAAGAGTAGCCTTTATTCAACAGTACTTGATAATCTAATTATAAAGTTTATGAGGTTGTTAGGCTTTTCAATTAGATCAAAGCTGCATTCTCAGGTAGATGAAAGAAATGACCTTAAGCACAGCGTTAGTGAGAAGAAAGTAATAAAAATTCAACTTCTAGAATTACATTTGGTAAAACGAAAATGATGACACTTTCATTTACATCCACTTATCAACCTTAGCAAGTGTTACAAATATATCACCTAAAATGTGAATGAGAAACTAGTAAGTCATCTGAAGCAAACTAATTGAAGGTACACTATATATTAATACCTTACAAATTTCTCCTTCTGACCTCCGATAAGCTGAGACTTGTAAGCACAATCAAACATTTTGCGGAACTTATTACATATATGCCAACATTGAATCCTGGTTTTGTGGATGTATCTATAATTACATCAGCTCCTGTGCAACAAATTTAAAGAACAATGAATACAAAAGCACTGAGGGTAAGTTCCAGCCATGAGAATTGTGATCCTTAAATAATATGTTAATACTGCAAGCTTTGGGCACCATTGCCAGGCTAGCTGATAAATATTGCAGTAAACTGTGGTAAACTTAAGCATACAATAACCTCAGGAAGATATATTATAAAGTTAAACAGAATATTAAGGGGCATTAATGAGACAATTGGATTTTCAAAGTTGCATTATATTTTCTAGAGTATCAGCAACAGCATTCTCACCTATTGCTTCTCTGTAACTTTCAATGGCGCATGCATCATGACTTTCTTGAGAAGAGATGTTATTCATGCAATCATGTAAAGTATTGTAGTGAAACTTCTGATCTTTAATTACAGATCCTAGAAGTCAAGTGTCCTAGACAAGAAAATATTCCCAGGGATCTTTTAGAAGAATAACCCTTCTATTGCAAGAGACTCTGACAAACAAATCATTAACTCCAAGAGATGAGGTTTTCACTAAATGTTTGGCAATTGGTAAGCATGCAGAAATTCGATAAGAGAGTAAACAAAATGTAGCAAGGGACCCAAAAACTGATCCTCGAATGTCTCAACCTTGTCTGGTCAAAGACATACTCAAATGATAATAGACAAATATTACCCCTTAAAATTTTGAATTAGCCGTTTCTTGCATAAAGCTCTTTCTGCCAGTCCTCAGCAGTACATAAACCAAAGAAAGTAGTTCTCCCCTTTGATTGGAGAGCAGAACAAAAAATGGAGGTTATCATCATGAACCATTGCAGGGGCTTCTCAAGACACTTAAAATTGAATTTAGGTCTAAACTACCTAAACATAGCTCTAACTTACCATAACAACATCCTGAATAGCAGAAAGAAGGTTAATCCTCCATGTTAATACGGTACGAAGAAGAATTTTGGCATTTTCAATTTCTTCTCAAATTAGGTGCAAAATTGGCCTAACATTTATTCAAGTTTTTTCCCTGGAAATTGAATCCCAACATCATCATAAATCTATGCCATCTTAATGCGTTAACGGGTTATCACTCCAGGAATTCTTAACATTGGGTTCCTAAATTTTTAAATAGGAAAATGATTTCATGTTTCATTTGGTGTGTTAGGGAAAACCATCATGAAATGCACCAAATCTTTTCTTCTTAATTTTACTAGTTTGTGGCACTCTTTATCTTTTTCCATTTTACAACTATAATTACAAACAACTCTTTATCTTGTAGCACAGTATAGGCACTTGGGATCCATTGGAAGAATGCTGATCTTTAAAAGAACAGAAAAGACAAATTAAATTAAATTAAATAAATTCCAATTTCATTCATATTGATCGTAGATTTGGTAATATGTGGAGTATTCTTATTCATTCTACCCTTTCACATGATCCAAAATTTTGGGAATGTTAACAAAGATTATGTAACCAGATAGACCAAAAAATGTAAAAGAAAAAATCTGGCAATCCAAGATAAATCATATATAATTCCGAAAGATTATCCGGGTTTTATGCAAGCTAAAAGGAGAAGACATATATGTTACATTGCATAATATTGTACATGAAATCTTCTAAAAGCAAAAGTAACTTCTGTATGAAATAACTTACAGCAACAATTTCCTGGTTGGTGCTACGTTGATACACAATGTAGGAGGATGATAGAAGAGAAAAATTAGGGCTTGCAGAAGGCAAAGAATGTGCCAAAAGAGAGACAAAAGTTTGTTTTATGGGAGGTTTGAGAGTTTGACGGTTATTATGGTTATTGTCCTTCCCAAAAGTTCCATGCAAACACAGGCACGGTTTCCATTCATATCAACATGTGTTGTGCCAAGAAAAAAGGGCAGAGGCATGCCATAAACCACCCAATAATGGTATTTTAAATGCTAAAATTAATTGATAATGCAACAATAATCAATAATAATTTATAAATAAGTAACAAAATTTCTTGTTACATTTGAATAAGATCTCAAAAGATTAAAAATTCAATTTTGAATTTTGACCCTTTATCAAAAGGACAAAATTCATTATAGATTGTTATGATAATATTAATATCTACATTATCATAAATATTAAAAGATTTAGGATTACTAAATTTAGATACTTTTGAGCTTACATTCCACTTTTAAAACAGTTTAATTTATAGTATTCAAAAATCTTCTTTGTTACCCAAATAATTAATTAAAACAACCTTTTGGTAAAATGCTTCTGCGATATTGCAAGGCATGCTTAATGCAAAAATGGACATTTTTGAAGGTGCTTGAAGATGATCGTGTGAGCAAAAGGTAAAATGAGGGACTTCATTATGAATTTCCAAGGAAATATCAAATTAATTTAAATACAATTATAAACAATAAATCAATTGACTTGAGCTAGCTCAAATATGTAAATACGTCAACACCACATGTGTGTGTGTATATATATATATATGTACCTTCAACTACTGTTCATCCCCTGCCTTCTACATAGCTTTGAAATGAAGGTAACTCCAAAACATGTTCTCACAATTAGACTAGACAAAAGGCTGAAAGGTTCAGTATACAAGTCAGTCAGGCTAGTTCTTTTCCCAGAAACTATTATACTCAAATGTTTTATCTTATTATGCAAACTATGTCATCCAATGTTGCCTGCCATGCAACCAGACAATTATGAGTTGCTTGGACTACTCCACACAAGCTCTTCCCTTGGAGTGCTCCAGAATGGAGACATGAATTATTGAGTATGTTGGTTTTATTTCTCATTCCTATCTTATCAGTTCCCGAGATTCTAAGGATGTATCTGTATACCACCAATAATATAGTATGAAGAAAAGATGGAAAAGCACATTGCCATGAGAAATATCCAGCTTGGAGTTGGCACTATAAATCTGGCACATAGTCATGCTCATGCAACAAAGCAGTCAATGAGTGCAATCCATCATAAATAGAGCTTGATCCAGGATGCATCCGATCACCATTAATAAAGGCATGAACTCCATTCTTGAGTTCAATCCAGCTACACCCTGGTAACTTCCTCACATTTTGTTGCCTCATCATATTTCTAACATCCAATACTTCTTCATATTTGCCTGCGGCTACATAAACATTGGACATCAATACATAACTACCACAATGCTCAGGCTCAAGCTGAAAGACATGCTTTGCGGCAACCTCAGCCATATCTGAATTTCCATGAAGCCTGCATGCTGCCAATACGGCCCTCCATACAACTGCATTGGCCTCAGTAGGTGATGTTAGTGCCAATTGATAAGCCTCCTCAAGCTGCCCAGCCCGACCAAGCATGTCAACTACACAAGTATAATGCTCTATGGTCGGAACAACACCATATCTTGACTTCATTTGCCCCAGGATCTGACGCCCTAGGCTTACAAAGCCACCATGGCTGCAGGCTGACAGGACTCCAACAAATGTGACATCATCAGGCTTAAAATCACTCTTGCACATGAGTGAAAATATATCCAATGCCTCACTTCCATAACCATGCATGCCATAACCCATGATCAAAATGTTCCAGGATGCAACATCCTTATGGCTCATCTTATCAAATACCAAGTGAGCCTCTCTTACACTCCCACATTTTGCATACATATCCATAATACCATTGTTAATAAGAACATCATCAATATCTTCAGAATTTCCATCTTTTGACAACCCATTAATAATCATATAGCCATGAATCGCCCTACCATGCATCAATGCTGCCATCTGAGTGCAAGAAGGAAACACAGTGGTCAAAGTGATCAAGTCAGGCCGAATGCCATCCCTTAACATCCTACCAAAAAGTCTCAACGTTTCATCATGATCACCACATTGTACATGAACAAACATAATCGAATTCCATGAAAAAATATCCCTCTCAGCCATCATTTTGAAAATCTCCAATGCTTCAGCAACAAACTTACACTTCCCATACATATCAATCAAAGCATTTGACACTATAATACTCGAATCATACCCCATTTTCACGACAACCCCATGAACGGCCCTCCCATTCTCAAAATCCCCTATCATTGCAAAAACTGATAAAACACCCGTAACCGTGAAACTACTAATCTCAACCCCTTCTAAACACATCTTTCTGAATATTCCCAATGCCTCATCAAACCGCCCAACCTGAGCATACCCATTAACCATAGCATTCCAGAGCACAACATCTCTTACAAGCAATTCATCAAACACTTTCTTGGCATCCTCCATGAATAAAAACTGCAAATAACACTTAACCAAACCACTGCCCACATACAAATCTGAGTCCAAACTTAGTTTAAAAACCAACCCATGAATCTTTCTAACCTCTAAAACCTCCATAATATCACAACAACCTTTAAGCAAGCAGGGAAACGTGTACTTATCAGGGAAAACACCAAGAACCCTCATTTCCCTGTAAAAGTTTAACCCTTTTAAGGGATCTTCATTTGTGACAAACCCAGAAATCATTGCATTAAGAGAAAAGATATTCGGGTTTTGAAGGGTGGTTTGGAATAAGGAAAGGGCATGGGTCATTTGGTTGCACTTGGAATACATGTTGATGAGGCTCGTGAGGGATGAAGGGGAGGCTTGAAGGAAGCCATTTCTGAGCATGTAAGCGTGGAGTTGCTTGCCTCCCGTGAGGTTTTTTTGGTGGGAACATGATTGGATGGAGGCAATGCATGTGGAGAGAGTGTAACGCTGTGGTGTGGGCGATGATAAGGAAGAAAATTTGGAAGAGGAACAGCAGAATGGATAAAGAGATTTGGGTTTGTTGCTCCTTTTGTTGATTGATGGTTTGGGGAAGATAGATCGTTTGTTCATTTAAGAGGAAAAGATCTGAAGATGAATGCTATCGTACGTTTCTATGCAGTTTGTTTAGAGCCAAATTTTCAAATGGCAGTTAAGCGGGACGATTCCTGGATTCATGGGGAAAGGGCTGCGAATAAATATTCTCATTTTTTTTTTATTTACAATTATTCATTTTCTAAGGTTTAATTTGGAATTTCCTTTTTTTAAAAAAAATTTGTAGAGATTAAAAAATTAATTTAGTATCTTCTATTAAAATTTTAATTTTTTTATAAAAGTAATATTCTATGATTTTTAATACCAAAAAATAAGAAAATGAATTCATTCAAAATAAATTTAAAATATAAAAAAAATGTATGAGTATTAGGTGTTTATAGAAGGGAAGAAGACATACTTTTAAAACCTTCAAGAAAATGAATAAATAAAATAGAATGGACTATGAAGGCAATATTACTTTACAAGTGGTTAATTATTTAATTTGACACTTGAATTATGAAAAATATTTAGTATGGTGCTTTAATTATTATTTTATTACTTTTATATATTTTTAGTAAATATTTTTAAGTTATATATATAAAATATTAGACTATATTAAGAATATCGTGTCAATAAGAAATGAAATATGTTTTAGGTTTATAAGTATCGGCTTTCATCCATTGAATAAGTATGTCTTTTAGATTAAAAATGTGAACTCGTGACTAATGGTATTAAAACCTACCCAACTCTTCATTGATGTGAGACCTCTCATAAAAGATTAGGATCGAAGTAACCTCAGATCAAGGTAAGTGTTTCTCATCTATGAATTACTTTATTTCTTTTATATATTTGTAATGAATATTCTTAAGTTATATATATATATATATATATATATATATATGAGACTATATCAAAAATATCACATCCATAAGAAATTAAATAGGTTTAGGGTTTATAAGTATATACCTTCATCCACTGAATAGGTGTATCTTTTAAGTTGAAAATGTAAACTCATAACTAGTGATTTTACAACTCTTCATTGACGTGAGACATCCCATGAGAGATTAGGATCAAAGTAACATTAGATCAAGGTGCATCTCTCTCCTCTATGGATGAAAGAGCCAATGCAATGATAGTGTTGTATAATTAGGTGGGGTAGGCATAATTGAGTAAGATAGAATATCATGAATCTCTCATCAGCACACATATTGCATATGTTATATAATTGGGTGGGGTAAGCATAATTGGATAGGATAGAATATCACGAATCTTACATCAGCGCACATATTACATAATTAGATGGGATAGAATGTCACGAATCTCACATTAGCACACATAAGGATTTGTTAGCTTTATAACTTTCTAATCGATCCCGTGTTTTGAAATGACAAAAGAAAATGATCAAAATTTATTTAAGTCTTGGAATATTAAGTTTAAACATTTCCTAACACTTTCTAATAAGTTTGAGAAGAAAAAAATGAAAAAGGATTTTGGAAAATGCATTCTAATCCTAATCTATCAATATATTTTCTTCATGAATCGATACATTAAGACAAGTATAGATAGATTTTAAAATCTATAAATACATATTCTTATGAAAAGTCAAATTCAATCTATCGATACATTCTCAAGTGTATCGGTAAAAATGTAACAAAATGCTTGCTGCCTTAAAAGTATCGATACATTTCTTGAATGCATCGATTTTTCAATAAAATGCTTGTTGCCTTAAAAATATCGATACAGTAGCAAATGTATCAATACAGTTTTAATAGAATGGCCCAACCCTTGCTTGAAAGTTCAAAAATATTGATACACGGTAAAAAACGATAAATCATAAATGGAATTCAAAAATAAAAAAGGTAATGTATCTATACATTCACATGTGTATTGATACAATATAACTGTTGGAGCTTTGAATGAAGAGAAGAATGACTATTTTCACATTTAATGCGCTCTTAACTACCTTTAAAGTTTCAGCAACTATAAAAACAAGCTCCCTCAGTATTTATGACAGTTGGAAGACTTTGAAACATAACTCCAAGAGAAGAATTCACCTCAAATCATTCAATACTCTTGTACTTCTTCTTTTGCATTTAAGTATTCTATTGTACAACTTATATAGCCATTATTTCTTATCTTCTTTCTTATCAAACATTGTACTTAACTTGCTATTTAACCTTCTAAAGGCATCTCAACTGCACTTTCATCTTTTGTTGTATTCACCCGAATGGTTATCCTTTAACTAATTGAAAAGGTGGAAATTGAGTGGTTATTACCTTAACCAAAATAAAAAGTAGAGTGGTTGTGCTTTAACCATAAAAAGGCATTGTATTAAACTCTATTTCAATAGTGGATTTTAAATTCCTTAGTGAATCTTAGGAAGAGGACATAGGCAATGAAGTTGAATCTCTGTAAAATCATTGTATTATTTTTCTTTTCCTTCTTACTCCTTCAATTTCATTTGTGTTTTTAATATTTCTCAATTTATAAGAAATCAATTAACTTTATCATTTTCAAATCCAGAATTTGATTTAAGAGTTGCTTGCTTCTGGCGAAGCTTCTAGCACTAGATAATAGGCATTCTTGTATGGTAGGAATACTACTTTATTTCTCAAAATTAAAATGGAATTTTCAAAATTAAAAAATTAATCCAATTCACTCCCTCTTGGAATTAATCACATTGAGCTTATCGTATTAACAAGATCACATAAGGATCCTCTACTTAATAGAATCATCTTTTGAGTTGAACATAGGGGCATGATAGCTGCACAATGTCAAGTAACTTTCCCTCATTTTTACAATCTTTTTTTAGATTATCGTCAACTCAAATATGAAACTTTTAAAATAAACTATTAAGCTTTAATTGTTTCAATCAAAAGCCACTTAAATCTAAAAGGGCTTGTAGTGAAGCAAGAAACTCAAAAAGAGAATAAAACAATATGAAATCCTATAATTGAAATCTTTGCTCCTACACCTTTAGGATTTGTCAAATCTTCAATCATTAAAGTGTTTAGCCTCTAATAGTAATCTACACAGTGACCGATAAGACCTTTTCAAAGATAAGATTTTACTTATACTAGCAAGTTTTGTTTCTAAAACAGAAAAACCTAAACTTCTTGTCGGATCTTATTTCTTTCAAATAAAGAAAATTATTTTTCTTTTCCTATTTTTATGAAACAACTAAGAAGTGGCTGAAGGCTTAGAGTTTTAGTTGGTTAACATAATATATTTATATAGCCAAACTAAGTTGTAACCCTAGAAACAAAATTTGTATTTTTATTCAATTAAGTCCTTGTGAACTTAATTAATTTTTAAACTTTAATTTGGTCTATATCAATTAAGTCCAACATAATTGATTATCTTTATTTAATTTCAATCATGTCACTGAACGTTTGTGACCCAGTAGGCTTGTAACATGTTGGCAATAAATATAAATCATAATCAAATATCAATTTGATGATTGATTTATATGTATAGATCATGAACGGTATTTAGCAACACATCATTACCACCAACATATTAGTGAGTCAATTAAAGAATCTGACAAAACCCTTCAATGATAAGCCTCTCAATATAATACGATTTTTTCATTAAATATCCCTTATATGTCATAAAGTATGGCTCAATGTCGACTTATAACATTCTATATTAGTTCTAATAATTCATGATTAACTTTATAAATTTAGGAAACTAATTTTCTTCAAATCATCATGATTTAGTCAAAGACTTTATACAAGTTAATCTAAAATTGAGAACAATTAAGATACATCCCCTTATATCACTTAGGGTGATAAATTCTCTCTTGACCACTCATCCACCTTTGTATGCGTCATGACATACCCAAAAAAATCCTGTTTAGGCATCTGGTAGCCTTTAGAGCTATTTGGGTAAAGTCAAAGTATGTCATTCTCTATACAAGATGACCTGGTGTCTGAAGTTCGAGGATTATTTGCATGACTATCACATGAGAACATATTTCATTGATACTTGAGTGAAATACCAAATAAAGTTCTAATAATGGATCATGTTTAGTGAACTTGTTATTTAACAAGCACCCACATGTTAATTTCAAGTATCACATATACTTCAATTTATGAGATTAATTGCTTACTTGCCAAGTAAAGAAGTTTAACATGTACCAGTCTTTGAGTATTGTTAATGTCTTGTCTTGACAATGCAATGACCAAGAACAATTTTAGGAAGAGGAAATTATGAGGAATAACCTTTCTTGATAAAGGCATTTTCAAAATAACCATCAAAATAAATTTAACTATTTTTAACCATATTTAGCTATGACTTGACAAAAATACCTTTAAAACTATTTCAAATAAATTAAATTATTCATCATAATTTCTTCCCATTTATGTTTCCAATTTCTCTCTCACCATCCCACTCTCTAATTTTATCAATTTTTTTATTCGGCATTCGTCTGCTATGCTCTCGATTTCTCTCTCTCGCACTTTCAAATTTCTATTTCTAGCACTTTCAAGACACCAAGCGATGGTTTTGATGTGCTTGGGTGGGTGGCCATTTGGAAATTTTGATTTTAGGTATTTTGGATAAATTAAAATGGTAGAAATGATTATAGATACTTGAAATGGCTTTTAATTAGATCAATTCGAGACCTAGACACTAATAAACTCAAAATTTTAAAATTTATAAACTTAGGTTTTTTTTTTAAATTTTTTTTATTTTTAGTCGAAATAGATGTTTTAGATAAGAAAAATTATGTTTTGATTTATGAAAATATGTTAGAAATACTTTAATCGGTGCTAAATTATTAACAAAAAAAACAAAAAAATGAAGAAAGTTGAGAAGATTTGAAGTTTTGGTTCATAAGTAACAACAACATTTTAGACATTAAAGTCTAACAAAATGTTTTTGAATATAACGTGTAACAACAATAATTTTTTTAAACATGGCGTGTACAATCATGACGTGTAACATGTTTTTATACATGGCGTATAACAAAAGTATTTTTTTTCAACATGACGTGTAACAACCTAACCATGGTGTGTAACATATTTTTGTACATGGCATGTAATAATCTAATTATAGCGTATAACATATTTTTGTATATAGCGTGTAACAATAATATTTTTCTTCAATATGGCATG